TAAGAAGCAATACGCGCGGGTCAGTCAGTAAGGATTGTAGAATTTTCAATGGCGCTTTGTTTCCTTCTGTAATAAAGTATTTTTGTTGCCTACTTTCTCTGATCAAGTAACAAACTCTTCACGGCTCAATTCTGACGTCAGTCTGGCGGAAGTTTGTTCAGGTATTTGGATTGTTTTGTTATTAACATTTCAGTATTCACGATACCAAAGCACAAAACAAATAGTTGAAAGTGCATAATTATAAAAAGTAACATCGAAAATGGTTAAAGTAAAGGTCCGGTAATACGGGCAGCATTTTTCTTCAACTTGTCTCGCAGCATTGTTGCATTGCACGTTGAAACATATTGTTGCACGTATTACCACGTTTGTGACCAACTTGTCTTGCAGCAAAATACAGTGTTGCAAGTTGAGGCAACATGTTGCGGAAAGTAGACTCGAGTTCTACTTTCTGCAGCAAATTTTAGTTTTGATGCTCGTATTACCACTGAAGCTACAACTTGTCTCGCAACAAATTTGAATTCAAAGCTTGTGATTGGCTGTCGCGAAGCGCAGCAACGTGGCAAACAAAACAAACATAGCGGACGGTGAAGGCGGGCGTGAATTCGAAGTAGACCAGTAACGCTCGGAATGTCACAAATTTGCCCTGTACAAAGACCTCGAGGGCCATCATAGTCTTTAGGACACCTCGTTTGTCCCTTCACACAAACAGCAAAAAAGGCAAACGGCTTGGAAGAACTGTAGCAAAAATACAACTTTTCGCCTAGCAATCTGAAACGAACACCAACTTCATACTGACAGAACTTCGCTGGCACGGAAAATTAAGAAGAAAATGACGGCCAAAATTCGAAGTGGAAGTTCGTGGAAACGCTAAATTATCCGAAAGAACATTCCATCTCTATTTAAACACGATTGACCAATTATACGTGAAGAATTCCGCAGACTTGCAACACTGTATTTTGCTGCGAGACAAGTTGGTCACAAACGTGGTAGTACGCGCAACAGAGGGTTTCAACTTGCAATGCAGCAAAGTTGCGAGACAAGTTGAAGAAAAATGTTGCCCGTATTACCGGACCTTAAACAAATTTTATTGTTGATTATTGTTACCTAATCTCGACTTTCAAATAACTTGACGTTTTGAAGTTAACAAACCTCACAAAGCCAAAAAATCTCCCGACACTTTCATCGGATCAGACGAAGAATTATTGCGACATTCAATTTTGGCAGAAGTGTCTGGACTGAACTAAAGTTATTCAAAACAATGGATTCGTGTTCAATGGCGAACTGGTAGGGACAAGATTCTAGTTCGAGGTTTCAATATGAAGAAAATGTTTTCAGGCGCGCGGTTCGATGTATCCATATCAACGAACAAAAGACTTACGGAAGTAATTACAGCTAAGATCGGTGTCGCTCGTTTATTTTTCGTTTAAGTGCTTTTCCGTTGGACGTCTCGCTAGAGAAACCATGTTTTAGCTTTTAATTTATTTCTCCAAAACCAGCGTAATATAAATTATCAGTATCTTTTAGCTTTCGTCTTGGTGGAACAAACAATACAAAAGCTAAGATGAAACGAATTTTGCAGGTTTTAAATGAGACTCCTTTTTGCAGTTGCGCTCATCAGCTTAGTATCAAGGTTTCTTGAAAAGCTGGTTTTATTATTTGATACAAAATGGGTTAAATCTCATCAGTGAAACGACATCATTTTAATCGTTGACTCATCATTTGGTTGTAAAATCTTTGTTGAACGAAATGTCTTTTGTGCAAAAGAAAAATTTGTGTACAAAATCTATCCCACTGAAGTCGTGTTTTCTTTCAACAATGTTACTATATAACAGTGTTGTATCACTAGTTTTCATGGCTCTGAAGGAGAATGGCTACCAAATATTTAGCAAAGGATCGGAGCAAGTGTTTAACTATACATCTTTATCTTTGATCTAATAAAAAAAAATTTTCATCGTCGAATAATGATTTTTTGATACTCGAAAAAGAAATAGAGTTATAATTAATAACCAAATGCATGGGAAAATCGAAACTGTCTCCACGCGGTTACTTTTAATGTTGCCATTTTGCTATGCTATTCGTTCCATACAAACTCCCGTTTTTTTAAAGATTTGTATTTAGAAAGTAAGTTAAATTAGATGGATTCATAATTTATGCACGTTCTTACCATGAATGCTCTTGGGTTCTTAATTCAAAAAGGAGCGTTAGAAAAAAACGTAAGCGTTTTCGTCACTGGTCAGTTTGTACCTGTTGGATAAGAATTTATTGACAGTATTGGCACGCTTGTTCATTCACGCGACGAGAGAAGACTGCCAATGAGCTGACGGTGTAGCAGATATATTTCAATAGTAGATAAATGACTAAAAAAGGTTTTAAGACTCTGACATTAAGATAACTAAGATTATCGCGTTCTGCTCATTTAACGTGTTAGTGCCGTTATTATTATTTTTTTTATTTTAATTTTTTTTGAAAACGTTCTAGGCAAAATAATAATAATAATAATAATAGTAATAAAAATAATAATAAAAATAATAAACTAATATCTATAGTTTTAAGGATCTATAGTTAAAAGTCTAAATCATCTTTAAATGCATTTTCAAGGAGCCTGTTACTCAAAAATGGAGAAAGTTGGCTCGTTGTAGTTGCTTGTTTCATATTTTCGAAAAATTTTTTTGCTTCACAACACGTACACAGTTCTAAATCACGATTCAACGTGAAAATTGGCAACACAAAACAAATTGACATTAATGCCAGATTCCGCATCATTGGTCAGTCCAGGAATGACCTGACCAATGAGAGAGCTCAACGTTTACGCGTATTAGCTAGTTAACGTCTTTCAACATGAATCTCCATCTTTGGCTAACAAGATAAAAGAATACACTGATAGCAATATCATTTTTATTCAGATGATTGCTGTTACAGTGGAAGGTAGGCACTTCCACGTAGGGGCCAAACCACCCCCCTAATGTTTCATGAAGGCTATATTTGTTTGGTTTACATATTTCTGAACCAAGTTTGGCAGATGAGCTTTCTTTGTTCTCCAGTTTATTTTAATTTGGAAGTTGTGACAAATTTTCAGATTATGACGTCATAATTGATGACGTCACCAAAACGTGCTATAATTTTTTGTTAAATCTGATAAAAAGATTATGTCATTGGAAAGGCCTTGACTTGACGAGTAAAATGCCGGAAACCGTTTTTTGCTATGATAAATATTTTTTGAGATATGATAAGCTAAATATTTTTTGTTTTCCCCCCGGAATTTGCTTAACCATACTGCCCCTCTTAAGTCAGTCTCGTTGGTTTATTTTTTCAGTTTTATTCTAGGAAGGCTAATAATCTACAAAAATAGAAAGCTTGATGTTGTCAAAAATCGTATGGTTTTAGAAATNCTTGGTTTACATATTTCTGAACCAAGTTTGGCAGATGAGCTTTCTTTGTTCTCCAGTTTATTTTAATTTGGAAGTTGTGACAAAATGTCGGATTATGACGTCATAATTGATGACGTCACCAAAACGTGCTATAATTTTTTGTAAAATCTGATGTAAAGATTGTCATTGGAAAAGCCTTGACTTGAGGAGTAAAATGCCGGAAACCGTTTTTTGCTATAATGATTATTTTTTGAGATATGGTAAATTAAATATTTTTTGCTGTCCCCCCGGAATTTGCTTAACCATACTGTCCTTCTTAAGTCAGTCTCTCTAGTTTATTTTTTCACTTTTTTCTAGGAAGGCTAACAATCTAGAAAAATAGAAAGTTTGATGTTGTCAAAAATCGTATGGTTTTAGAAATTTGATTTTTGGCTTTGTTAGGCTGGTATTAACAGTAAAAAAACGATGACGTCACAGGTTATGACGTAACAAAACTAATTTTAACGCAATAACACTAGAGGGATAATTTTTTATTTCGATTTTCTTCTTTATTTTTGCTTTAGTCATCTGGCACATCACATGTGCAACATAG